TATTTAATTTGGACTACTTAATAATCCACTATTATTATTATTATTCATATTATTATTTATAAAATTTTTATTATTATTACTAAAATTATTTTTATATGAATTATTATTATTATTACTATTATTATTATTTAATTTAAAATTATTATTATAAAAAAAATCTTGGTTGGATAATATCATTTGTTGATTTGATATGTTATTATTTCTATCCATTTTATAATTTGATGTTTATATTTTTTAAAAAACAAACTAAAAAAAAAAGAAACAAAAAAAAAAAAAAATTATTTAAATAATATTTGAAATAATAAAAAAATAAATAATTTAAATAAAAAAATAAATTTTGCTTATTTAAATATTTTATATAATAATAATAATAATAATGATAATAAAAATAATAATAGAAATAATATAGATTAAATTGAACAAACAAACACTCACACATTTACCTAATATTATTGTTAATGCTCTATTAATAGTGATAAATTATTCAAATTTATGTATATATTATCTTTATTTTAATCAAAAAAGATAATAAATTACTATTATGAGGTAGTGGTTGCCAAGTATTAAACATTGATTATATAAATTATAATAAAAAAATGGACACCTCCCTATAATTATTTTTCTATTATTTTAATGTTTTTTTTTCGATTTTATAAATAATCATATGTTTTTAAACAGCATAAAAAGACAATCCTGTGGGTGTCTGGTGTTAAATAATTTTATTTGTTTGTTTATTGGTTATTTGAATGAATGAAGAATTTGGATAGTTATAGTTTTTTTATTATTAAAAAGGAGAAATCAAATAATAAAAATTTGTATTTAATATAGAGTCATGATGATAGCAATAAATTATAAATTATTGTGTTGTGAAGGTGTTTTTATTTTTTTATTTAAAATAAAAAAAATTCGTATATTGTAACAATAAAAAGCAACATTCTCTCATATTTATATACGATATCATTACATTATTCTCAAATATTGTTGTTTTCCTAAAAACACCCCCACAACACACACAAAGATTAAACAGTATATAAACATCCCCCACTTAGAAAAAAAAATTATTATTAATAAATGATTTTATCCTTCTAGCTCACCCTCTCAAACACTTAATTTAAAAAATACCAAATAAATATAAACAATATCACACTATTTATATTGGTATGTATTTGTTTATAATTTGTTTTGTTTTTTTTGTCCAAAATTATAATCAAGATTTATAGTTTTTATATACAAATAACTCATACAAATTAATTATTACCATCATGATATATCTCACAAAATACTTTTTTCTATTTTTAATAATGATAAAATCATTAATAACAATTAAAATTTTGAACAACACACACCAACACACTAAATTTTTTTTTTTTTTTGTCTGTATCTTTATATGATTAATAATAAAAAGCTTGCTTCAACCATGTTTTATTTTTTCAATTCTACACAAAATCATTTTTTAAATAGATATAATATACAATATTAAATTATTGTTAGTTTAATACATTATAAATAATATTGGTATGATTAATTGGTTTTTTTTTTAAAAAAAAAATATAAAAAATATGCATAATGCATATAATTAGATCTATATTTTAAAAAAAAAAAAGTATTTTCCACACAAAATAAAATAATAAAAATAATGATAGTGATAATAAAAATAATTACTGTCATGTATATATTATTTATAATGTAATTAAAATCCAAACTAATTATTCATAACCAATATTTTCAATATAACCCCCACTAGATTATAAAAATTAAAATAGAGGGTGTTGGTGTGTGTATGTGAGAATACATAAATTAAAATATATTTTATGGAAATCTTTTCTAAAAATAGAACTTGATATTTTTTTATTTTCATTAACAATATTAATAATCATCATTATGATGAGTAAAGTATAAAGTTAAGTTTAACAATAAAATTAACTTAATTAAACTTTAATTTAAATTGATTTTTTATACATTATATAAATGTGAACAATAAAAATATATATTTTTTTTATCAACATTAAATTTCGTTAAAAAAAGAAATCTTAGATTTAAAAATATAAACTAAAACTTTTTTTTTTTAAAATAAAAATTATAAAATAGAGCTAAATTTGGTGTTTGTTTTATTATTATTGTGTTTCGCATTATAAATTGTTTAAACTTTTTTTTTTATAAAAAATTTAATTTTTTAGATTATTTTTAAAGGTTTTTATTTAGAACTGTTTTTTGAAAAAAAATTGTTTGAAATTTATTCGGTTTTAAAATGATATATAACAACTTTTTTAAAAAAGATAAATAAATTGATAATGTTTTATAACACTTTTTTTTAAATTATTTTTACTTTGTTTTTTCGTCTTGTTATTTTTTATCTGATGTTATTTAGTTTTCCCTTTGTTGTTTAATGTAACTACACATTTAATATAACCAAATGTGAGTGTTGTGAGGCACCAAATAACATTTTCATTAAATAAATCTAGTATATAATCTTAAAAAAATGAATACATTAATAACCTTTTGTTTAGATCACATAATTTTCTTTATTATCTGAAATTTTTTTTTTCCTTTAATTTATTATTTCAATCTACATAACTAAACATTTTTTCATAATCACCATTTTAACTTTATTATCAATATAAATAAAATATAGTGGCATCCAAACAATTTATTTTAAAACATATATAATAACTTATAGAAACTGAGGCAAATGATATGGTCCAACGTGTGCTGATGATTCATGAAATTTCTTTCAACTTTTGTCTAAATGATCTTCAATATTTTGCTATTAATTTTTAGTTGTTCAATAGGTCGATAGGCATCAATAACAGATTTTGGTTATAAAATAAAATTTACCAATGTTTTAAATTACTTTTCTATATAGACCAAGAGTATAATTACACACTATATGTTTTTTTTATGTTTTAATATAACTCATATTAATATAAATTTAAATTAAATTTTATTTTTTTTATTTGGAAATTATTTTTAAATTTCTTTTCTAAATATATTTATGACTATAAATTTAGATGACTTTTATTATTATTATCACTATTTATTATTATTTTAATTGAAATCTATTTGAAAATTTAAATAATTTATATTGATTTATCTTGGAAATCAGATATAAATGAATGTAAAAATTCTTTTCTAGTTCTTTTTATTTTTTGAGCAAAAACAGGTGATTTAAGGGTTGATCTTTCACCGTTAATTAATTTGGTTAAGAGGAAGTCGGTAAAGTTGTCATTTGATTTGAAAATATGAGATTTTGGGAAAGCTGGACCAAAGTCTGAAACTTCTTCTTTGCAACCAATGGATACTTTATAAAATACATGGTTATTGTTTGATTTAAGATTATTATTACTAGTTTGAATATTAATTTCTTCATTGTTACTACTACTATTAATTTCATTTTGATTTTCATCACTAACATTATTATGATGTTGAGTATTTGGGGATTGGCGACTATCATCTACTTGAATGACTGCAAAAATATGATTGAAATTTGATTTTATAATGGATGGATCAAATTTATTATTTTTACCTTCTTTAAAAATAATTAAAACTATATCATTACCAAGATGACGTTTTCTTTCAACAGATTGTTCATCAGCTGCTCTGCAAGGGATCATTGGGGCTACATGATACATAATTTCAAAATCTCTCCATTTCTTGTAAACGCTGTGTGTACCTGTTGTATTATCTTTAACATCTAAACCACCTCTATACTTTGTCCAACCTTGAAGAGTTACACGAGAGCCAAGAACTTTGAGAAACTCTTGAAAAGCTTCGCTGGTTTCATTGTTACTATACAATTCGTTTTCATCATGACCTTGATCTTCTCTGCAATATAATACACCAAATTTAAAAGTCTTGTGAATGTTTTTAGCTTCAAAATTTAAAAGATGTTTACTGAATGATACATCTTTGACTTCTTTAAGTTTAAAGTTTGACATTTGATTGAAACGTGATTTCTTGATCATCTTGATCATATCTTTACCAGATAAATCTTTTTTACCATTTAATGAGATACGATATTTTTCATCTTTATCACCAGTTCTAATAATACATAAAAGCTCGTTACTTTCATGTAAAACTGCAGCTGAAACACACATGGGATTATCTGGTTGGTTTTTATTGACACCAAGGAAATTGAAATGTTCAAGAGCACTGAAATCGTCAAGATAATGATATTCGTCTTCATCGGTATAGAGAACAGAGAGTTCATGTCCAGAATAAATTTGGTTGCATTTACTGTTACCAATGTCCATTTTATAGCCTTTGCATTGGAGGATATGCTCGCTTTTACCTTCGGGTACCTCTTCCCATTCACCAAACTCAGTTGAAGAATTATTTGCATTTTCAATATTTGCGACAGCAGCTGATAAAAGTTGGTGTGATACAGCAGAGGTAACTACAGCAGAGCTTGAGGATGATGGTGAGGCAGATACAAGTTTATAACTCTTTAAAATCTTTTCAAGACGTGGGGAGATTGGAGGACTTGCAACACCCAAATTATTGTGACTAATGTGTTGGTGGGAATTTGGGGTTAACTCTCTGTGAGTATCAGCGCTAAATGATCTAGCGTGACCGAGAAGATGTGATTTTTTGCCCTTTGCTGCTACACCAAGGAATTCTGGTGATTTTGGTGGTGATTTTGGTGGTGATGTTGATAAATATTGTGGAGAGGTCATCAATGGTGAGTTTTCTTTATCACTTGATGGTGACCCACTGGCACCAGAGTTTTGTGGAGACAACGAGACGGAGCCATGTTCTGAACCACCCTTTTTAATTGAAATACCATTCGATGAATCATCATATTCCGTTTCGGCAGAGGTTGCTAATTTCTGACGACGTTGTTGTAATAATTGCAATTTATATTTCTTTGGATCTTCTTTTAAAAGATTTAAACGATCATTCATCATTTCTCTATAAATACTTGCTTTTTCTTCTCTATACATGCACTTTCTATTTACGACATTATCAACTAAAATTCTAGTACTTTCCATTACTTGTTTTGGTGCACGAGATAATACAGCTGGTTGTTGTTTTTGAGATTTCTTTAAGGCTGAAATTGAAGTATTGTTTATTTCTTCTTTGACGTTATTGTGAATCATTGAAGTAACATTAAATGAAATAATTGAGCTTTCTACACTATTACCTTCACTATCACTGTATTCTGATGGGTCTTGTTGTGGAACTACTTGTTGTTGTTGTTGGCCGCTACTGTAGCTGTGATGATGTAATATAATACCAGTACCTAGAGTGTGGATATTTAACCCATTTAATGATGATTCATAACCTTTGATAAAACTTTCACACTTGTTGTTTAAAAATGAGTTTAAAGAGTCACGAATACTCATACCAATAACACAGAGCTTTTGAAGTTGAACTGTAAATTCTACAAAATCTTTTAGGATTGTTAGCTTTGAAATATTTTCCCATACTAATTGATCCATGTTGGAACGAAATTGAATTAATTTAGGCTTGCCATTCAAATTTGGTGGGATTGACTTGCTGCGATATCCCATACCTCTTGGATATTCTCTTAGTGTTTTTTGAATATCAATTAATACTTGACATATTGGTTTCTTTTCATATGCAGTATCACCGCTGCATATTTGCTCAACTTCAATACCCAATTGTTCGACACCTCTATTTAAAATTGGTATTATATCTAATAAAATCTTTTGCAACTCTTCTGATCTTCTTTCTTCTTCCTCTGTTGTAATTTTATTATTACTACTAAAATCGGAAATTAAATTCTTTTTTTTAAAAAAATGATAAATAAAAAATTGTTAATAAAACTTTTCGATCAATAATTAAATTTTTCAAAATAGATATCTAATTACCTCTGTTGATGTTTCTGATTTCATTCCTTCTTGGTTATAATATATCTGCTGATTGTATGATGATGATAATGATTGAGATTGTGGTTTTGTTACAATTATTGAAGTATTAGTAGTTGTGGTTGTGGTAGAACCTCTTGGTGTACTAATACTACCAGCTGATACCGATATCTTTCTTGGTGAAGAAAGTGTCGTATAAAAATTTTGAATTTGGTCTGATGAACCTAAAATACCATGATAAATTGACATTATTAATATTTTGATATTTTGATGTAGTTTTGATTTATAATAATAAATAAATATTATTTTTATTTTTTTTGAAAAAAAAAATAAAAGATTGGAGAAAAAAAAAAAAGAAAAAAAAAATGTAATATATTTTAAAATATATTAAGTTTTGTTATTAGGAAATAAATAAATAAATAAATGATATAAAATAAATATATATCAATGTGTATATGTGGGGGGATTGTTGTTATATTTTTTTTAATTTAATTTAATTAAATTTAATTTAAACATTAAAAAAAAAAAAAAAGGTTATATAATGTGTATTTGGGTATATATTTTTTTTTTTGTGTTAATTTTTATATTTTTTTTTTATATTTTTTTATTTCTAATGTTAAAATATAAATACCATATATATCATCAGTATCATCTATATCATTCCATATTTTAATGAATGAAATCATATGATTAAAAAAAAAATTAAAAAAAAAATAAAATTAAAAAAAAAAATACAATAGTTAAAAAGGGGGTACCCAACCCAAAGAAAACAGTTATGGTGGTAAGGGTGGTTAGAGCAGAGTATATATTTTTTTATTCACCCTTCTTTCTTTTTCACACATAAACACACACACAAAAAAAAAAAAAAAAAAAAAAAAAAATTTATTGGCTAAAACTTAATATATTAGGAACAATTAAATTGATTATATTTTATTTTTTTTTTATATCTTTATTTTTAAAGTGATATTAATGGTGGGTGGTATTTATTTATGATATATATATCATATATAATACAGGTACATAAATATTTAAGAAATGTAATATTTTGAGTGTTAAAAAAATTTTTGATTTGATTATTTTAAAAAAGAACAATACATAAAAAGAGAACAAAGAGAAAATTAAAAAAAAAAAAAAAAAACTATTCAAACACGCACACACAACAATAAACTAATTTAAAAGAATCAATATCATAGTAATAAACTATATCGCATTGTATTATTATTATTATTGCCATTGATGTCGTTTTGAGATTTTTATATGTAGTACTAAACAAATTTGGATGTGTTTTTTTTTTAAATGGTAATAGATATAATGAGAAAAAAAGGAAAAGTGCTTATTATTATTTAAAAATTAAATTACTACTATATTACTCCTGTTATTGGAACTGTAACCTTTTAGTATAATGTTTTTTGGTGTGAATGTTAAGATATAATATATTTATATTTTAATATTGAATGTACTGATAATTATTATTATTATTATTATTATTATTATTTATTAATTTTTTTTTTTAATAAATTTTATCTCTTTTCTTTTAAGTTTGATAAATACAATTATTTAATTTTTATTTTTTTGTTGTCATAACTAGTTGGTAGTTTATCTATTATTATATTCTATTTTTCCCTAATTATCTTCCTATTCCTCTTTATAAATTAATTTGTGGTACAAAAACATAAACACAAGAACAAAAAAATAAATTAACCTAAAAATCGACACTATATTAACCAAATCTAACTCTATGTGATTATTATTATTATTATTAAATTATTGGAATTTATTTGTATAAAGAATTGGTTTTAATTACTTTTTGTTTATTCTGCTGCTGTTATTTTTTTTAAGTTTGTTGGTGTTAATGATCGATTATATTATTTTCTTTTAATAATATTTAATATTTAAGTTCCAATAAAATAATAAAATTTTATCAAATACATATATATAAATAAAATAATAAAATTAAATAAATAAATAAAAAAATAAAAAAATAAAAAACAATAGTACAAAAGAGACTTTGGTTTCTTTTTTTGATTTTCAATAATGTTTTTTATTTATTAAATAACAAAATAATAATTTAACACTTTATGATTGTTTTTTTAAAATTAGAGAAAAAATATTTGTTGGTGAAAATTTTAATATTTTCTATTTTTTTTTTACGTATGTTTTAATTTGTGTTTAATGGGTTGGATGTGGGTGTGTTGTGTTGTTTGGAAAAAAAAGCATAAATTTAGATTATTGTTTTTTTTTTAAAAAAAAGGGTTACCACCCTAATATTAAATTATGATTTTGTGTCAAATAACAATAATTATTATGAATTTTTGATTGATTTTAATTTGATTGAATGAACTATTCAAATAATTATTATTTTATTTGTTTATAAACATATTTGTTTTTATTTTATTTTTTTTATTATTATTTTAAAAATATTGGTTTTTCAGACGAATGAGTTATTAAGAAAAAATAAACTTACCTTTTTCTAATAAAGTTCTTGTCTCTTCGATAATGATGATAATAATACTTATAATGAAAATGAAAATAAATTGATATTATAGTAAACAATTATAGTATACAAAATAAATGATTTGTTTTAATAAATAATAAATAAAAAAAAATTAATTTGTTTTATTAATTTATATATAATGTAGTTTTATTAATATTTATTTATCTAATTTAAATTAATAAATAGATTATAAATAAAAAACAATGCATATATGTGCTATAAAAAAAATAATAGTACAACAATAAAAATTAAATAAAAATACACGCTAAACAAACTATAATAACAATCAATATTATTATTATGTTGTTATCAATAATAAAAGAGTTATTAGTATTAAAATTACAACAAGAAAAACAGTAACTAAAAAATAAAATAAAAAAAAATAAAAAAAAATATTTTTAAAAATTTAAAAATATTTAAAATAAAATTTTTTTTAAAAAAATAAAAAATAAAAAAAAAAATTTCTTTTATTTAAAATGGTTTATACAAAAAAAAAAAAAAAAACTAATCCATTATATTGAAATAAACTATATAATCTATTTATAAAACTTTTTTATCTCCTAAAAGGTTATATATTAAATAATCAAAGAATGGGAAATTTCCAAATATAATAATAGTTTACAGATTGTCATACACCAACCCATTAAACAGAACATTTCCAATCTTGAAATTATTACACCATTAGCAATCGATAAATTTAATAGTTATTTTAATAATAGACTCAATAATATACATTTCGAATATCATTAAAATCATTTGATTTTTTTTTTTGAAAATAAAGAAAAATATTTGAACAAGGCTTACAATGATTTGGAGCAATAAAAAAAAATTTTAAAAAAGAAAACTATTATAATTGATTTTAAAAATTACAAATTTAATATTTTAAAATGGTCGTAGATGGTTTGGAACACCAATGATATTAACTTATTAAAAAAGATAATTTATTGATATTTTTTATTATACTTTTTTTATTTATTTTGTAGTTGTTATTGCTGAATTAAAACTTTTGATTCTTAATAAAAACATTTAGTATCTGCTTTTATTAGTTTAGTTTTTCACTAATTGCCGAACACTAATTTATCACCTATTTTTAAAGTTTCAAGTGATGATGGTAACCAATGGTTGCTATCACTATTTTGTAATGAACCCGGTGAAACAACTTGGTTAAATCTATGACCGAATGTGAGTGTTTTGATACTATTTGGTAATGAGCCTGGTATAATTACTTGGTTAAAATCATCACCGAATGTGAGTGTTGTGAGACTATTTGGTAATGAGCCGGGTGTAATTACTTGATTAAATCTATGACCGAATGTAAGTGTTGTAAGATTACTTGGTAATGAGCCAGGTGCAACTACTTGGTTAAATCTATGACAGAATGTGAGTGTTGTGATACTATTTGGTAATGTACCAGGTGTAATTGGTTGGTTAAAATCATAGCCGAATATGAGTGTTGTAAGACTATTTGGTAATGTTCCGGGTGTAACTACTTGGTTAAAATCAAGTCCAAATGTTAGTGTTGTGAGACTATTTGGTAATGTGCCGGATGTAACTACTTGGTTAAATCTATTACTAAATGTGAGTGTTGTGATACTATTTGGTAATGAGCCGGGTGTAATTACTTGGTTAAATCTATTACCAAATGTGAGTGTTGTGAGACTATTTGGTAATGTGCCGGGTGTAAATACTTGGTTAAAATCATCATTGAATTTGAGTTTTGTGAGACTATTTGGTAATGTACCGGGTTTAATTACTTGGTTAAATTTAAGACCGAGTGTGAGTTTTGTGAGATTATTTGATAATGATCCAGGTGTAATTACTTGGTTATAATCTAAACCAAATGTGAGTGTTGTGAGACTATTTGGTAATGAGCCGGGTTTAATTACTTGGTTAAAATCTAAACCAAATGTGAGTGTTGTGAGACTATTTGGTAATGTGCCGGGTTTAATTACTTGGTTAAAACCTTCACCAAATGTGAGTGTTGTGAGACTATTTGGTAATGTGCCGGGTGCAATTACTTGGTTAAAAAAAAAACCGAATGTGAGTGTTGTGAGACTATTTGGTAATGAGCCGGGTGCAATTACTTGGTTAAATGTAGTACCGAATATGAGTGTTGTGAGGCTATTTGGTAATGTTCCGGGTGTAATTACTTGTTTAAAATAACAACCGAATGTGAGTGTAGTGAGACTATTTGGTAATGAGCCGGGTGTAATTACTTGGTTAAAACTATTACCGAATGTGAGTGTTGTGAGACTATTTGGTAATGTGCCGGGTGTAATTACTTGGTTAAAATAATCACCAAATGTGAGTGTTGTAAGACTATTTGATAATGAGCCAGGTGTAACTACTTGATTAAATTCATTTCGGAACGTGAGTGTTGTGGGAGTAAGTGATAATGAGACGGATATAATTTCTTCGTTAAAACTATCGAATGATTTTTTTTTGTGTCTATAGTAAATAGTTTAAAAGAGAAAAAAATAATTAATATGCTATAATCTATTTACATATATTGTATTGTTCTTACTTTTTTAAAAAATAACTCCTATAGCTTTTATTTGATGGTTTGATTTCCATTTTAATGTTTGATGATTCTTCTTTGGTGTTCTAAATTTATATGTTAAAAAAGTTAGTTTTTTTTTTTTTTATTATCTAAAAATACCCACAATATCCTCGAATTTCTTTATTAATGAATCATCAATTGGTAATTCTTCAATCTTTTTATCATCTGATAACTTTACTATCTTTTATTTGAAATTATAAAAAAATTTAGTTAGTTATTTGTGTTTTTTTAAGGAATTAAATTAATAATACCCACAACTTCAAAATATTCTATTGAAACATCTAATGAATCTTTATGAACATCATAAACGTTTAAAATATATAACTCTATAAATTCCTATAAATTAAATAAAGTGTTAATGTTTTTAAAAAAAAAAATTTATTAAAAATAAATTTAAAGTTACATTTTCTTTCAAATCTAAATAATCTTGACCACTAATTAGTTGAACAAATTCTTTACTCCATTTTGAAGAGTCTCTCCAGAATTCTAAAAAATCTTTATTAGTATTTTCATTGTAGAAAATTAAGCATCCTTTCCTTAAGATACTGCCAGCCAAGATAGTTTTTTCATTTAATAATTTCAAAGCTTTTCTAAATATTTGGTTTTCATTAGAATTTGAAATTTTTTGTAAAATATTTGATTCTTTTTTTTTTGTTGTAGAGCTTGCGACTTTATCGTTATTGGATTCATCTGTATGATTTTCAATATTTTCTAAAGTATCATCTTCTTTATAAAACTTGTCTAAAACTTTACCAACAAGAATAGCTGCACCAACTCCTAAACCAAGATCAAATTTGAAATTGAAATTGTAAGCTTTCGGATTTGGAGGTAATTGTGTAGTTGGAGGAAAATATGTATGTGGAGGTGGAGGTGGAGGAAAATATGTATGTGTATGTGTATGTGTATGTGGAGGTGGGGGTGGAGGAAAATCTTGAGGTGGATGTGTATGTGGAGGTGATTGTGTATGTGGAGGTGGGTATGTACATGGATAAGAATATGAATATGAATATGAAATTGATTGAAGAGGTAAATGTGTAGATGAATTTACAGGTGGAGGTGATTGCGGATTTACAGGTGGAGATGATTGCGGATTTACAGGTGGAGATGATTGTGATGGTAGATCTACTGGTGTATTTCCAAAACTTCTTATATTATTTTTTGGTAAAGTTTTTAAATATACATAGAAACCTTTTGATGTTCGATTATGCAACATTTTTTATATAAACTTAAAAAAAAAATTTAAGAAAAAATATAAAAAAATTTTAAATTAAAAATTAAAAATTAAAAAAAAAAAAAATTGATTTAAAAAAAATTGTGATCAAATTCAATAATTCAAAAAAAAAAAAATCTTATTAATTGTGATCAAATTAAAATAATTTGTTTTTTTTTAATTTTTTTTTTTTAAAAAATAAATATTTAATAATTAAAAAAAATTAAAAAAAAATTTAGCTCATATGTAGAAATAATAACACCTATAAATGATTTAAATTTTTTTTTAAATCATTTATAGGTGTTATTATTTCTAGTTTCAAAAAAATTATTAACCAAAAATGAAACTGCCAACCATACCATATGATTCCTTTTAAAATATTATCTTTCATATGAAAGTTAATTTAAAATTTTTAATAATAATAATTTTTTTTTAAAAAACACAATAAATTAACATAATTAAATTATCAAAAACAATAGGGTTAATTAATTTTTTTAATCCTTTTCTTTTAGTCCCTCAGTATGTTTAATTTATATCTAATGTATGAATAAACACTTCAAAATTTAATCTTATTAAAATTTTAAAAATTTTTTTTTTCAATAAAAAAATAATTAAACCATTTAAATTTATTTATAAATATTTTTAAATAGGAAATATAATTAAAAGATATCATAAAAATTAAATTTATTTTATATGGTCAAAACAACAATAATTACTGTTTCAAATGACTTATCAAAACATAATCTCAAATATTAAATACAAAAAAGCAAAGGCATAAAAAATATATAGATATTTTCAATATTTTTTTATTTTATTTTTATTATTTAATTTAATTTTAAATTTTGAAATGGAGTCAGGTTCTAAAGGATAGACCACATCGTCCATAAAAATACAAGCTATAGAGTCAGGGATAATACTTTTTTTAAAACGTTGAGAGAAGCCATAAGAAAAGTCAAGAAGAGTTAAATGATTTGCAATAGAACCATGTATTAATCGATACTTGATGTTTTGTAAAAACAACCTTTGTACGTGAGTTGGTTAAAATTAAGTGGTGTAATGGTTCTTGGAATAGTTTTGGGTAAACTTTGGATGAGTCCAATAGCAAGGAATTCAATTTCTAAATGACTAATATCACTTTCTTCTTCATTAATTGTAAAATATTTACCATTAACTTTATTAAAAGGAATTTATGTTAATATAAAATAAAAATTGAAAATTTTCTAAAACTTACATTTTAGTGTTTTAAATCCTTTTTAAACAAAGGAATACCAAATACTTCTAAATAACTGTTTATAAGATCTTTGAATAAGTCGATATTACTTTCTTTAAGTATAAATTCAGTATCTTTATATTCTGGTAAGTTATTATTATTTATATTTGATAAAATATTATTACATTATTGAATGTGTTTCAAAAGTTCAATAAATTCATTTTTATCAATATTACTAACATTAAATTTAATGGCATTATTAATTTTATTATTATTGTCTTCTATTGTTGTGGTTATTATTTCATTTACTTCAATATTTTCTTGTAATTTAGTTGTTAATAATCTTTTGACATCATTTTCTTTTGAATTCATAATATTTTTTAATTGTTTAAATATATTAATAGTTATATCAAAATTCTTTCTATGGTTATCTAGAATTTGTTCAAAATTGTTGTTTGATTCATCCAATATTTTTTTATTATTTTCTAAATATTTGTTTAGTTTTGGTATTGTTTGATTTTTAAAATCTTGATGTATTTGATTTCTAATATTATTATCTTCAAGGCTTTTAAAAATATGACCACGGTGAACTCCATTAATACAATCAATACATACAGGAGTAATGTTTGGACAAGTTGAGCATACAAAAACAATATCATGGTGGGGATGATCTAAACATTTGATGCTTTTAAAATTATGACCATAAAGATCATCTGATGAATAAAGCTTGTTTTCAATATCCCGTTCAGTTGATGGTTTGAATTCCATTTTATTATTTGATGATTCTTTGCTAGTGTTCTAAATTTAAAATGTTAAAAAAGCTAGTTATTTTTTTATTATTAAAGTCTAAAAAATACCCACAATATCCTTAAAATTCTTTATTAATGAATCATTATTATGTAACCCTTCAATCCTTTTATCATCTGATAACTCATCTATCTTTTATTTGAAATTATAAAAAAGATTTAGTTAGTTATTTTTTTCTAAAGTAATTAAATAAAATAATACCCACAACTTCAAATTATTGTATTGAAACATCTATTAAATCTTCATGAACATCATCAATATTAAAAATATACAACTCCATGAACTCCTATATTTTAAATAATGTGTTAATATTTTTAATAGTTTTTTAATAAATTTTTTAAAATATAATTTTAAAGTTACATTTTCTTTCAAATCTAAATAATCTTGACTACAAATTAGTTGAACAAATTCTTCACTCCATTTTGAAGAGTCTCTCCAGAATTCTAAACACCTTTTAAATTAAAAACTTTTTTTTTTGTTTTTAAAACTTAGAAAAATAAAAAAAAAACTAAAACTTAGAAATTGACTTTAAAAATGGAACTAATTGACCCCGAACTTAGAAACCCCTTTTTTTCAAAAAATAAACTAAATCGCATACCCTAATTAAAATTGAAATTGAAATGTTTGGAAGGTGTTACAGATTTACTTTGAAGTTTTCTTTTGGCAAAGTTATATTTTTTTTTGTTGATTTTTGTATGTATACATAGATACCTTTTGATTTTAGCGTTATAAAAAAAAAATAATTTTAGATGATTTTTGTGTGTAAATCTAAAAATTTTAGAAAAAAAAAAATTAAAAAAAAATTTCAAATGATACCGTTTTAAAAAAAAATATACTTTTTTATTTATTTTGTTTTGTTAGTCGGAATGTGGTTTTTGTAGTTGTTATTGCTGTTGCTTAATTAAAACTTTTGATTCTTAATAAAAACATTTAGTATCTGCTTTTATTTAGTTTTTCACTTTATTGTTCAATACTAATTTATCACCTATTACCAAAGTTTCAAGTGATGACGGTAACCAATGGTTGACACCATAATTTGGTAAGGAGTCGAGTTCAAATACTTGGTTAAATCTATGACCGAATATGAGTGTTTTGATACTATTTGGTAATGTGCCAGGTGCAACTACTTGGTTAAATTTATAACCGAATGTGAGTGTTGTGAGGCTATTTGGTATTGTACCAGGTGTAATTATTTGGTTAAAATCAAAACCGAATTTGAGTGTTGTGAGACGATTTGGTAATGAGCCTGGTGCAACTACTTGGTTAAAATCAAGTCCAAATGTGAGTATTGTGAGACTATTTGGTAATGTTTCGGGTGTAACTACTTGGTTAAATCTATTACCAAATATGAGTGTTGTGAGACTATTTGGTAATGTGTCAGGTGTAATTGCTTGGTTAAATCTATCACCAAATCTGAGTGTTGTGAGACTTTTTGGTAATAAGCCAGGTGTAACTGCTTGGTTAAAATCATGATTGAATGTGAGTTTTGTAATAGTATTTGGTAATGTACCGGGTGTAATTATTTGGTTAAATCTATAACCGAATGTGAGTGTAGTGAGACCATTTAGTAATGTACCGGGTGTAATTACTTTGTTAAAATCAAGTCCAAATATGAGTGTTGTGAGACTATTTGGTAATGTTCCGGGTGCAATTATTTGGTTAAATCTATCACCAAATGTGAGTTTTGTGAGACTATTTGGTAATGTTCCGGGTGCAATTATTTGGTTAAAATCACTACCGAATGTGAGTGTTGTGAGACTATTTGGTAATGTGCCGGGTACGAATACTTGGTTAAAATGATCACCGAATGTGAGTGTTGTGAGACGATTTGGTAATGAGCCTGGTGTAAATACTTGGTTAAATCTATGACCAAATGTGAGTGTTGTGAGACGATATGATAATGAGCCGGGTTTAATTTTTTCGTTAAAATTATCATCGAATGATATTTTTTTGGGGCTATAGTAAATAGTTTAAAAGAGAAAAAACGATTAAAATGCTATAATCTATTTACATTTATTGTATTGTTCTTACTAATGACCAATATTTCTCGAATAACTTTGAGCTAATGGTTTGGTTTCCATTTTATTATTTGATGATTCTTCGATAGTGTTCTAAATTTAAAAGTTAAAAAAGTTAGTTATTATTTTTTTTTATTGTAGTCTAAAAATACCCACAATATCCTCGAACTTCTTTATAAATGAATCATTATTTGGTAACTCTTCAATCTTTATATCATCTGATAACCCCATTGTCTTTTATTTGAAATTATAAAAAAGCTTTAGTTAGTTATTTATTCATTTTTTAAGGAATTAAATAAACTATACCCACAATATCTTCGTACTTCTTTATTAATGAATCATCATTTGGTAAATTTTCGATCTTTTTATCATCGATAACTCCACTATCTTTTATTTGAAATATAAAAAAATTTTAGTAAGGTATTTTTTTTAATAGGAATTATATAAATAATACCTACAACATTATAACATTCTGCTGAGACATCTTCATGAACATCATAAATATTAAAAATATACAACTCCATGAACTCCTATATTTTAAATAATGTGTTAATATTTTAATAATTTTTTTTAAAAAATTTAAAACTATAGTTACATCTTCTTTCAAATCTAAATAATCTTGACTACAAATTAGTTGAACAAATTCTTCACTCCATTTTGAAGAGTCTCTCCAGAATTCTAAAAAATCTTGGTTATTATTATTTTCATTGTAGAAAATTAAACTTCCTTTCTTAAAGATACTACCAGCCAACTTAGACTTCTCATTTAATGTTTCCATAGCCTTTTGAAATTTTTTGTTTTCATCAGAATTTGAAATTTTTTTTAAATTTTCATTATTTGATTCTGTTTTTTTTGTTGCGAAGCTTTCGTCTTTATAATTATTAGATTCATCTGGATGATTTTCAATATTTTCTGAAGTATCATCTCCTTTATAAAACTTGTCTAAAACTTGACTTAGAAGAACAGCCACACCAACTCCCAAACCAAGATCAAATTTGAAATCGAATTTAAAAATGATGGGTTTGGGTGGTGGCGGAGGTGATGGGGAGGGGGTAGGTGGAATTATATGTGGAGGTGGGGGGGTGACAGGGTCTACAGGTTCAAATTGAAATTTTCTATTATAATATTTTTTTGGAATAGTTTTAGATTTTTTTATGTATACATAGATACCTTTTGATACTTTTCGAAACATTTTGGCGTTATAAAAAAAAAAATTTAAGATGGTTTTTATATGTAAATCTAAAAATTTTAAAAAAAAAAAATTAAAAAAAAATTAAAATTATTTCGAAATTATTACTTTTTAAAAAAAAAAATAATGTGAACCTCCAGATGAAAATTTTTTTTTAAATTTAAATAATTTTTTTTTATTTAATTCATTCTCCATAAAATTTAAAACTCTACATTTCTCTCAAAGCATGGATTTGAATTTTGTGAAGATATTGAAATTAAAATTCAATTGTTATAAAAAAATTATTACAAAAGGAAAGTTTTGGGTTTGGATTATATTTCCAATATTCCGAATACTTTTTTCTCACAGGAATAAATAGTTTTATTCCACAAAAAATTGAAGAAAATTTTATGAAAATGGTTTTAAAGGGAAAAAGTATAATTGAACCTATTTGGCAGTCGAAAATCAGGTTTTGGTAATAAATTTTTTTTTTGTTTATATAAAAAAGAAATTAAATTTATTGTATATTTTGTTTTTATTTTATTTTATTGTTTTACATATCGATTCTATTTTTTCTATTACCAAGCTCATATTGTGGAATATAGCTTATAACTACACCTAATTGTTGAGCAAATTCATAGGTGAGTTGTGGATTCTTCAAAAAAGCTCTACCGACTAAAATTAAATCTGATTTTTCCTCTTGAAGAACTGACTCAGCATCTTTACCATTTGTGATAATACCAACTGCGCCAATTAAAAGTTTTGATACTGCTTGTTTAGCTTGATGAGCAAATGGAACTTGATAGAGTGGACCAACATTTTTGAAAACTTGTTTTGAATTGTTACCACCTGAAGAACAATCTAAAAGATCAACATCTAAAGTATCAAGAACTTTTGCTAAATTAACTGTATCTTCCATATTCCAACCGCCTTCAACATATTCTTCGCAAGATATACGAACTGCAAGTGGTCTTTCTGTGGTCCAAACTGTACGAACTGCTTGAATAATATCTAATAATAATTTAATTCTACCTTCAAAAGTGCTACCTGTATATTCGTCAGTACGTTTATTTGATGTTGGTGATAAAAATGATGATAAGAGATAACCGTGAGCTAAAAAAAGATTATAATATTAATATCTATTATCTGTAAAAACTATTTATAATAAATATAATGCATACCACTATGAATTTCTAAAAAATCGTAGCCAGCTTCAACTGATCTTCTAGCAGATTGTTTGAATGCCTCTATTGCATCTTTTATATCTTGAGTTGTCATTTCTAATGGTACAGACATGGTATCACTCCATGCAATAGGTGATGGACCTTTAACAACCCAACCACGTGAATCGGTTGGTGGAATAGCATTCTTTGAACCGTCTAAAAAGATTGGATGACTACTACCTTTACGTCCACTATGAGCAATTTGGATACCCTTTAATAATAATAGTAATAATAATAATAATTAATATATTTCATTAAACACCTGTAATATTTAATATACATACCATTTTAACACCAAATTGATGAGCAAAGTCATTTATTCTCTTTAAGTTTTTAATTTGACCATCTTCCCATAGACCAAGATCACCATATGTGATACGACCTTCTGGTACAACAGCAGATGCTTCGACAATGATTAAACCTGGACCTCCTTTGGCCAATGAGGTATAATGTGAGAAATGCCAATCGTTAGCATACCCATTATTGTATGATGAATAAGTGCACATTGGACTTACTACAACTCTATTCTTTAATTCAATATTTTTAATTTGAATTTTTTGAAATAATTTTGGTGCTTTAGTTTCATCAACGATTGTTAAATCATTGAGTTCACCTGCACTTTTTAAATAAGCTGGTTTGCTAGAATGATTGAATACAAATTCTTCCATTATTTTATATTAATAGTGTATTATTTTAAATTATTAAATGTATAATATATAAATAAAAACAATTTATAATTTATAGGATTATTATTTATTTATTAATTATTATTTAGTTTGTTGAAACTGTTATTTCATTTTGTTTTTTTTTTTTTTATTTATACCTTTTTTTTTTTGAGTGAAAAAAAAAAAAAATAAAAAAATTAAAATAAAAATAAAATAATAGTAAACAATTATAGTATTATCTTATGATTTAAATATATCATTTTCGTATTGGAGAAAACTGGAGAGGGCATATCTTATAACAAAAGAATTAAAGAATAAAAGAATAAACGAACATTATTTTTAAAAAATAATTTTTTTTTTATTTTTATTTTTTTTTATTTTTAATTTTTTATTTTTTTTATTTTTTTTTTTTTATTTATTTTTTTGTAAATTACCTTATTATAACGGTAGTCTTCGAGTAACCAATAGCGTTATACAGCAAAGATGGTTACGAAAATAAGATTATTTATTTTTATCATTTTATTCTTTGTTTCTTTTGACCATGTACAAAAAAAAATTTGTCCTGTTCAGTAATTTTAACCCTATCAATATCTTTTTTTATTTTTTTTTTTTATTTTTTTATATTTTAAATAAATAAATAAAATGATATAAATAGATTTTTTCTTTTCATTCTTTAATTATTTTCTTTTATTCTTTAATTTTTTTTCTCAAATTATTTAAAAAAAGAATTTGATTAAATGTTAAAAAAAAAGGGGGTAAAAAACAATGAATATTTTTAAATAATGATTATATGTAAAAAATAAAAGAATAAAAGAAAAAAAGAAAAAAAAAAAAGAATGAAATTTAAAAGATATATTATTATTTTTTTTTTAAAATTGTAAAAATGTACAAAAATTTAAAACTATTATTGTTTTTTTTTATTTAAAAAAAAAAAACAATAATTTTTTAGGGATTTTATTAAATTTATTTATTGTTGAGGAAAAAATGATTCATATCTTTGAGATGATTAATATTTGTAAATGAGAAATTACCAAATGCTAAATTTTTTTCAATGTCATCAGAGGATGATTCTAAGGCTTTGCGATTTGAAGAGTTGTTTGGGATGCTTGTTGCTTTATTTGGAGATAAATGTTTGTTGGTTGAACCATTTGATTGCTTTCTATTGTTTGAACTGTCAGAGTCATTCTTTGAATCACCATCAGAACCATTTAACATTAAGTGGTTATGATCATCATTTTGAGAATCTATGCTACCATTACCATGATTGATAATTGAATCGTCATCTAAATTTGAATTCTTTTTGGTGTTGCTTAAAAAGTCGTCATCTGAATCATCATACATTGACTGTCTATCCCAAAAGTAATCTGTATCGTATACATTATCTGGTTTTGGTAAAAAGAGGTCGCTCATATCTTGAGAAACAAGGGTATCCCAGTTGACATCAGAGAAGAATGGATGTTGTTTAACTTCAGTTGCACCATTGGCACCAAGTCTTTTGGATGGGTCTGGATTTAAAAGTTTTAAAATTAAATCTTTTGCCTCTGGTGAAATTTCTTCTGGCCATTCGATTTCACGATCTCTATGAAGAATGTGGTGGAAAATTAATTCTGGTGTTTCGTCGTTGAATGGTGGTGAACCTGTTAAAAATTCATAAAGAATAATACCTAGGGCCCACCAATCTACTGGGGTGCCATGACCTGTACCTAAAAGAATCTCCGATGATAGGTAATCTGGTGTTCCAACAATTTTCTTTACTGGTTTCTTTAATGGGGTTTTAAGAGTATTCTTTCTTTGAGGATATGGTGATAAAATATTGGTTTGGCTAGAATTTAAATTCATACTTGTATCCATCATTCCGCTAGTGTCACCATCTACATTGGTTGGTGAGTTTGATAAATAAAGCTTTCCACTGTTATGTTCTGATGGTTGGTGATAATCTTCAGAGTTTCTGCTAATAGCTCCATTGCTGTTGTTATTATTTCTTTTATTTTCATCATCTATAATACCAATCTTTGAAAGTCCAAAATCTGTAAGTTTAATATGACCCTTTGCATCGATTAACATATTGTCTGGTTTTAAATCTCTGTGAATAACTTCGTGAGAGTGGAGATATTCTAAACAAAGAACGGTTTCGGCAATATAGTGTTTGGCCATTGGTTCATCAAAGCAACCTAGAGCACGTAATAGTGAAGCACAATCACCACCAATTAAATACTCCATGACGAGATATAATTTATCTGAGGATTGAAAAGCATAAAACAATTTGACAACAAAATCATTTTGGACAGTAGCCAAGATATCTCTTTCGGTAATAACATGAGAGGTCATATTCTTTCTGATTGTATCAAGTTTCTTTAATACTTTGATGGCATAGAGATCACCAGTTTTCTTTTTCTGTGCTAAGTAAACACGACCAAAAGCACCTCTTGAAATTGGTTTAATAATTTCAAAATCATTAATACTGATGCTTGAGCTTTTACCAACACCTGGTGGTTCTGGAATGACTGGTGATGGAATTTGAGCAACTGAATCCTTTTGTGGCGATGGTGTCATTAATTTAATGAATGGAAGAAAACTCCACATTGATCTCTTTTTACCTTTGTTTGAAGCTTGGGCATTTTGCATTGCATTTTGATATTGTACATAAATTGCTCTTTTCTCTTCAATAATTTTAGTAATTCTTCTGCCATAGGTCAAGAGTGTAAGATTGTCTGGATAGGCATCTATAACTAATTGAATTCTGTAGATGATATCTTTGCATTGCTGAGCTGAATCACCTGAACCGTCATATGGAATAAATAAAAGTTCTGATAAAATGGAATCCAATTCGTTGACTATGGTATCTTCTAATTTATATGATTCCTCTGTTTCGACTTTTGATGGCGAAGCCAATGAATCGCAATAGTATTGGTGACCTCCTTTAGCTAGTTTAATAAGGGATATAATACGTTCATCATGTGGAGTTTGCTTAAAATCATTATTATTGATCAAGACACATAATGATGTATGAATTTTTAATTGACTTTGAGTGTATAAATCTTCACAAATACGACAAACAAAAGTTTTTTCTGGTTTTACGATTTCATTGTTAATGGAAGTGGTCGATAATGTTGATGAGGATAATAATGGTGATGCAGTATTATTAGCTTTGATTTCTTCTCTTTGATAATTTTCTTTTAATAGATCTGTTAAAATTGACTTTTTTTCTGCGATTGGTGAAGAGAAATTTTTATCGAATACCAATTGATTGTTGTTGTTGTTATTGTTGATAGCACTAATATTATTACTATTTGGAGTATTTGGTTCATAAACTGAAGAACTTGATAAAGCTAAATCATTCTTTTGTATTATTGGACTTTCAGTAACAGCTGAAAATAAAATATGACTGGTTTCACTAAAACTACTGGTTTCACTGGTGTTTGCAGTTGGTGGAGTACTTGACCCGCTTGTTGATACTGTTTGTGGCATTGCATCATATTGATTAAAACTTGAACTAAATTTAGGCTCGTGATAAGATGAAGAAAATGATATGTCGTTAAAATTGTGTAAACTTCTTGATAATCTTTTTTGTTGTAAAATACCATGACTAAATGATAAAGGATTTGTTTGATCTAATTTTTTTTGTTGTAAATTTACATTATTATTATTATTTATATTATTATTTATATTATTTATATTATTTATATTATTATTATTATTATATACACTATTATTTAAATTAAATTGTAAATTATTTAAATTCTTTTCAACTGGATTTAAAACATCTACAACTCTTGAAAATTCAGAAAAAATAAATAAAAATTTAGAAACCAAGGATACCATTTCTTTGTTATTTATGGCCATTGCAAAAATACCTTGAATTGAGTGTAGAATTTGTCTATTTTGTTCTTTTTGTTCGTAAACACTCATGTTTAGAATTTTGTTTGAAATCTTTTTAATTTCTGATATTATTAATACACTATTTTGATTATTATTACCATCTGTACAATCTACAACTGTTTCAATATAATTTTGAATCTTTTTATCTACACTTGATTTAGTTGATACCAACTTTTGGTTAATATCAAAACTGGGTCTACCATCTGATGAATAACGAGTGGTCTTGCTTATAAATTTCTCTCTAATGATGGATGGATGTTGTGGATGATTGTTATCGGATGCTGCTGCTAAAATGGATTCGTTTGGTTTAACTGGTAATGTTAATGCTCTTGATCTTAATGTACCATTTCTGCCACCAGCACTATTATCTCTTTTTCTATTATTTTGTATAAAATCTGTTACTGATGTTGTAGATATTGCTGTTGTTGATTTACTCTCTTTCTTTTTCTTTTCTTTTTTATTTTTAGTTTTTTCTTGATCTTTTGGTTTTTCTTCGACCACTATTTTAATTGATGGTATTAATGGATTACCATTATTATTACTATTTAATGATTCATCTTCTTCTTGTAATGAAAATTTAGGTATTGATAAAATATTTGGGTTTGGTAAAGGTAATTGTGTGTTTGGTGAAGATCTTTGTCTACTTTGAACTGGTGATAAAATTTTTGGTAATAAAGTTGGAGTTGAATTATTGCTACTGTTGCCACTTGATGCTCCATTATTTAAAATATTATTAAGATTGTTATTAAGGTTGTTATTTTGATTTGCACAATTAACATTTGGTGAAGATGGTGGTGTATTTATTAAATTACTATTGTTATTGATGGTAATTGTAGTATTATTTGGATTTTGTTTTGAAAAGTATTGATTAAATGATAAAAGTGATGATGCGGATGAAGCAGATGATGCAGATGAGGATGATGAAGATGAGGATGAGGATGGAGATGAGGATGGAGTATTATTGCTTTGTTGTAAATAATGTAAATGACTAATATAACTTGGATTGGTTGAACTATAACTTTTTTTATGTGAAGTAGTTGGTTTATTATTGCTATATTGTGAACCACCAACAAGATTTGTGCTACTGCCACCCCCACTACTATTTGTACTATTACTGCTTGTACTATCGGATCTACCATAGCCATTTGTGTTGATTTGTCTTTGATTGAATGATGATTGTTGTTGAAATTGTAATTGTGAGGATGATGAGGGTTGATATGATGATGGAGGGGTGTCTAATAACATTGCGTGTAAATTATCACTGGATATTGAGGTGGTTGGTGTATTATTTATTATATAAAGCTCATCATGTTCATCAATACCAATGCTAACATTTAAGTGTTGAAGAGAACTTGATAAATTTAAATCGGATTTTGATTTTTGTGGAGGTCTACGTTTATTGTCCAATGATGGTACTGAAGCACTTTGTACAGGCGAAGTTGGAGCCGATGCTGATGTAAGTGTAGAAAATTCAAATGAACCTGATTTTTTTATTCTTGCACCATTATTTTTCTTTTGTCTTTCTTCCTCCTCCTCTATTCTAAAACGTTCCTGCTCCTCAAATCTTTGCTGCGATAACTCTATTGCTTTAATCCATTCATTACAATCACTTTCATTACGTGCTTGAATTGAAAATGTTGGAAACAATGCTTCATTCTTTGGTATAATTTGAAAAGAGTATTTTCTTTCAGTCTCTCCCAATCCTCTTTTTATTTCACTTCCTATTACTGGTATCATACCAGTAGGTTCTGGATCTGATTGGTGCTTAAAATAATATAATAATCCATCTTTTAAAACAAAATATCTTTTCTTCCAACTTCTTATAACATGACCTTCTTTAATTAAAAATCCACTTTTATCTGGGTTATTTAATGATTTAAAATCGGGCTTTTAAAAAAAGAAAAAAAAAAAGTAAATATAAAATGTTTGATTAATATTTTAGAATTTTAAATTTTTATACATACATCATTTTTCGGGGCAAGCCACGATATTAAACAATCACTTTCCTCTACCTGTGGATGCTTCACTAAATCTGTTAAATATTTCTGTAATAATAATTTTCTTTCCTCTACTAGTTCTCTATTGGTACTATTTTTAAATATATATTTCTTTGGTAATTTTGGTAATTTTATTTTTGGAAAAGCTGCTTTTATCTGTAATTTATTAAATAATTAGTATTTATTTTTCTTTTTCCTTTTTTTTTCTATTTCTTTATTTTTAAACATACATTTGAATCTAAATCGTGAAATTGACTGTACCTCCTAAATATATTCCATTGTTTATTTGATATCTGATTTGTAACGTTAACCATATAAACCTTTTTTTTTAAAAATAAATATTAATAACGCAGTTTTTTTTTTTTGTGGTGAATGAAAAATAAAAAAATAGGTGGAATTTCAAAAATTCACATTTTAAAAAATTATGCATAATGGGCGTTAGGCAAACACGCAAATATATTAAAAAAAATTTAAAAAAAAAAATTTTTTAAAAAAAAGAAAAAAAGAGGAAATAAATATATAACTACATACCGTAAATGCATTAAATGATACTGAATCTAGCCTTGCTTCATCACCAATAATAGATAATTGGTATTTCATTTTAATATATTATTATAAAATTATTACTATTATTGTTGATGGGGTGTATTTATTATTGTTTTCGAGTTGAGAAGTATGAAATGACTAATTTATATATGATATGGGTGTATTGGAGTGTGTGTGGGTGAATAATTTATTTTAGGGAAAAAAAAAAAAGAGTAAAATAAATATTTTGAGTGTGATAAAAAATAATATACTATGAGTGAAAAATTAAATTGATATAGTATATTTGATTGCTAATAAATAAATATATTTAAAAAATTTGATAGAATTTGATAATTTTTTTTTTAATATTTATTGTTGAACTATTGTTACAAAATTTTGTATCGTTATAAATATAAAATTATAAAAATATTATAATGTAAAAGTGCTTCTTTTTTACTTTCTACACTTTATCATTATTTTTCTAAAGTTTGAACTTATTTTGAACCTGTATTTGAGAGTGAATAGGCTGAATGTATAATATTTGATTTTGAGATAACAAAAAAAGAAAAAAAAAAAAAAAAAAAATTTTAATGTGGGGTTTTTTTTTTTTTTCTTGAAATTATTTCAATATAAAACCTGTATTATATATAGAATAAACTAATTAATTATTATGATACTATGATGTGAGTGGTGTGTATGTTGTGTAAAATAATGATTGATGATATTATTAATTATGTGTTGCGCAGGTGGTGGAAAAATAAAAAAAAAATTTTGAAAAAATAAAAAAAAATTATTTTTTATTTTTTTAAAAAAAAAAAAAAAAATAAATATCTGGAAAAAAAAGAAAAATTAATGTGTATTTTTGTGACTGGATACTGCAAAACAAACAACAAATATTTATTGAATAGATTAAAATATATTTTATAAATAATTATATATTTAAAATTTTGATGGAAGAAAAAAAAAAAAATTTAGGAAAAAAAATAAAAAAAAAAAAAAAAGTAAAATATAACTTTTTTTTTTTTTTTTTCTAAAAATTAAAAATTAAAAATTAAAAAATAAAATAAAATAAATAATTTGTTTAACTGATGATTAATGTTGAATTAAAAGGTTTTTTTTTTTATCGTTAAATTTAGGACAAAAAAATATTATACACAAATTACCCTTTGTTGAGTTGAGGCGACCAAAAATAAAAATTGTTATTAATTCTGAAAGTTGTCACTAGTAATCAATATTTTTATTTTATTTTATTTTTTATTTTTTTTATTATTTTATTTACGAGCGTATTATATAATAATAAATTAATTGGCGTGGTATGTATTCGAATTAAATAAATATATAAAAAAAAATTTCTTTAGATTTTTCCGTAAAAATTTACCAAAAAAAATATAGATTTGGAAATTGAATGTTGTTTAATGAATTAATTATATGTAAAAAAAATTTGAAAAAAAAATTTAAAAAAAATTTCTTTGGCGAATTTCTCAAATATCAAAGCGATCACATTTTATTTTTAGTCAACGATCCCCACAAACAAAAAAAAAAAAAATTTAAAATATTTGTGGAACGAGCGAGAAACTGGTAAAATTATAATTTAAAAAATAAAATTATATATTTAAATTTATTTTTTGGAATATGGTGTTGTAAGGTTGGTGAGATTTTTGCGTGTATTAAAAAAAAAAAACAATCAATATTTTTTATTTAATTTTTAAATGATGTGTGCAAGAGAAAACAAAAACGTTCCATGCGAATCCAAAGGATTCCAACTCATAAATATCTTAAAACAAGATATATATTTCCAAAATTTTCTTTGAATGAAAAAAATAGGATTTTATAATTTTATATTTTTTTTTTATTTTATTTTTTTTTATATTTTTTATAGTTTATTTTGTATTTATAATAAATTTTATTATGGAATAAAAAAAACTATATTGTATCTTTTATAGAAAGATTACGAAAAAATTTGTTTTTTTTTTTTTTTGACTTTTTTTTTTTGATTTTTTTTTTTTATATATAAATAAAGACTGGTGGGGATGATTGGTATAGATTCGTTAGTTGGGTAAAATGGTTGTTTTATAACTTGCGGTAGATATATAGTTTTGTGATGATTCTATGTCACCATGGGGATTGTGGTTATAGTTGTTGCTGTGATTTGAGGAAGAGGAGGATTCATCGTCGTCATAATCGGAATCGTCTGAAGAGCTGTCATAATCGTTATAGTTGTGTCTCATTATTAAAGGTGAGTGAATATTTGGATTTGAAGAGGATTTTACAACTTTGGTGGATGCTAAAGGTGAGTATTGAGAGTAAGTTATGATATCGCTCGAATTATTGATACTGGAGCCGCCGATGCCGCTACCGATATTTTGATGACTGTCGTTTACAAACATTGTCTTCTTTCTCTTCATTTTTCTTAATCTAAACATCATGAGCATAGTTGGTAAAATTTCAGTGATGAAAAAGTAGGCCAATTCAAATTCCCAACCTAAATTAAAAGATGTTGTACCTGATTGACTTGGATTATCGATCGATTCACGAATACTGTACAATGTGATAACTGATCTAATACAAAAACAAATGGTACAAATACTACCAACTACTGCTGCACGTATTGCTTCGGGTGGGGATTGTAACAAACGTCTACGATTCATAATTGAGGTACGTTGTTGATGTGCTACCAATGCTGATGCTGCTATGGGTCCCCCTGCTGTTGGACCAGTTGATAATCTATCCAATTTCTTAAATGAAACAAATAGTAAGATACCATAGATTAAAAAGCCAAATCCTGCCAATAAAAACAACCCACTAATTACACCCTCTACAATTTGGTCCATTAAAAGTTTTCTAGATTTATTTGTGCCCCAAACTTCCAAAGTTATTATCCATGCCGCTAATGATACAATTATAATAGTACAAAAAATTATAATTCTTGGTCTCCAAGTGATCCAAAAATCTTTTGATGTGGTGTAGGGTTTTGAAAATCTGTTATATAATTCCATCCAAAATAATAATAAACATCCATAACCTGCAAATAACAATACTGATGATAATTCATACCATATTAAAACACTATCAAAATCATTACATAATGCTTGACTTGTAAAAAAGAATCCACTTCTTACTATAATAATATATTATAAAATCAATAGGAAAAAAAAAAAAAAAAAAAAAAAAAAAAAAAAACCAAATTAAAATTACGCGATTTTTTTTTTATAAATTAATAGATTATTAATATACATACCCAACATAGTGATAGCTATAATAAAATGAAATATTAATTTTGGTTTTAGGTTTTTAACACCATTTCTAGAGTATATATGTATCCTAATTAATTGAAATAATGCCCAAACGAATAATAATGCATCTATTATCCCCAGGACATAATATAAATTTATATTATAAGTATTCATAGTGCTGCCATCTAGAACATTTTGTTCATCATCTATTACACCAATTATGCTTTTAATTGGCATTTTCTATTTCTTCTCTCTACCAATCTATTCTTTAAAAATGGTTATTTTATAATGCTGTTTTTAAACTATGGTTTATTTTTTATTATTTAGATAGAGAGAATTATTTTAAAAAAAGAGGATATATATATATACACAATAAAAAAAAACTTAAAAAAACTATTTAATAGTGGGAGGGAGATGTTTTTTTATTACTATTAATAATTGTCGGAAATACATAAAAAAAAAAAAAATAAATAAAAAAAATAAAAAAAAAAAATAAAAAAAAAAAATAAAAAAAATAAAAAAAAATAAAAAATAAAAAAAATAAAATTTTTAAAAAATAATAATTATTAAGTTGTGTTTGAATAATACACACACAGACCACCACCGACTCCAACAAATCACAATTCTTTTTTTTTCTTTAATTAGTTTTATTTATTTTAATATTTTATCTTTTATTTTTTATTTTTATTTTTTTTTATTCTATTGTTTGGCAACTACTATTACATTTAAAATAATTAAAACCTTCACAATCAGACTGGCTCATACGAAAACGATAGCCTTTTCCATCTTTACAATCTTGGTTAATTGAAAAACATCTTCCTTGGCATTCTGAAATATCGTTTTTTCTATTTTCTTGGTTTTCTTCGTCTAAACAGGTAAGATATTTGGTTTTGCAATCATCCATTGCTATATTATTAAATTCAGAGTATTTGGTGAGACATTGCACAAAAATTCTTTCACAGTTTTTAGAATATACAAAAGAGGAGCTTATGAATATAAAAATATAAAAAAATACAGCGATCAAAAAGACATTATTTAATTTATTTAATAAAAATACCATTTAAAGATTTAATATAAGGATAATATATTTCCTTTTTTTTTTTTTTTTTTTTATAATTATTTAAATAAATAGTTATTTATAGTATTTTTAAATTTCCATAAATAAACAAATAATTAACAAATAAATAAATAATAAAATATTTTTAATTAAACAAAAAATATAATATAAATAAATAAAAAATCAAATAAATAAAAAAAAAAATTTATCTTTGATTAACCTAAAATGGGAAAAAGATAACAGTTTTTATTAAATTAAATATTTATTACTTTATCTTTAAATACTTTTTTTTTTTTTTTTTTAAAAATGTCTAATATTAGACACATTGTCATATTGTTATCATTAATTTATAATAAAAACTATCTTTTTGGTAATAAATAAAAAAAAAAAATAAAAGATAAGGACACCCACCCCCAGTCCACATTTATAAAACACATTCTATAAAAAACTATTTATTTTTAAATACTCTATATAGTTAAAATCACAACAAAGCCATAAATATATATAAAAACTATTTATAAAAATTTTTTTAAAACATTATAATTATTGTTGTTGTTTTTTTAGTATAATGTTTTTAATATCTTTTCAATATTTGTATAGTTATTTATTTTGTGCGTGTATTTCGGTTGGTATTACTATTAGTTAATGATGCCTTAATTATGTTCAGAAAAGTGCATGTTGGTTGTTGTACATTTTTAAAAGAGTGATTACGAAATAAATAAAAAATAAAAAAAAATTATAAAAAAAAAATTTTAAAAAAAAAAAGATATTTATTTTCCACATCGTTACATTTATTACTTATGGGGTTTGGACAACATAAAGTAATAACCCCCAAAAAAATATTTTTGGTTGGGTTGATTAATTTGGTGCACTTTTAATAATTATAGTAATTTACTTTTTAAAACAATGGCATAGTATGACAACATATGGATATCATCAATTGTCCATGTGCTTTTTTTTTTTGGTCACCTTTTTATTTTTTTTAAAAAATAAATTTTTAAAACTATTAATGATAGAAATTAAAAATATTTAAAAAAAAAAAAAAAACTCATCCAAAAATGATGATATTGTTCACCATTGGATTCATAGAATCAAATTTTGATTGTTTTAAAAAAATAAATTAATTAATTTTAAAAAAAGATTGACCAATTAAAAAATAATTTTAAAATAATCATAAAAACAAATTTTATTATAATAAAATTTTCAATCAAAAAGTCGGTTAAATAAAAATAAATATAATTATTTTTCATTATTCTCTGTTTTTAAAATAAATAATAATAAACAATAATCATAAAAAAAAAAAAAAAAAAAAACCATGTTGGTTAGTTTGTTCATAATAAAATAAAATAAAATAAATAAAATAAATAAAAATAAAAAAAAAAAAAAAATAAAAAATTGTAATTGTGTGAAAAAACTAATCGAAATTAGACAACAAATATAGTAAATATATGGTGTTCAGTAACGGAGTGAATTATCAAATATCAAAGAGGATATTAATTTCTTACAAACCCGAACGGAATAATTGCTTTTTAAAAGGACAACATCCAAAAAAAAATAAAAAAACCCAATATTTTTATTTTTTTTTTATTTTATTTTTTTTTTTATTTTTTTTTTTGATTACATTTTTATCACAATCAATTTTATTAATAAAACAATAACACACAAATTTGTGCTAAAAAGAATAAAATTTGACACCATTTAATATCAAATAAAGGTTGCTTAAAAATTAATTATAATAACCATTATTTTTAGGCAGGATTATTATAAAAAAAAAAAATCTGCCGGCATAGTTTTTGATTTTTTATTTTTTTTTTATTTATATTTTTAAGGAGTTATAAGAAAACCAATTTATTTTATTTTTTTAATTTTTATTTTAATTTTTATTTTTTTAATTTTTTTTACAAAAAAAAACAATATAAAAATGATTTTTTGCATAAAATGTTCAATTATTAATTTTCATTATTATTTGTATATTAAAAAAAAATGAATAAAGTATTTTCATTACTTTTCTGTATTTTATTATTAAGTCACGTTGCTTTGGGTGACTTTGATTTCAGTAAGTAATATAAAAATTAAAAAAAAAAAAAAAAAAAATATATTAACCCCAATTATTATTTTTTTTATTTTTTTAAAATAAAGATTCCGTTGTTTCAATTTCAAAGGACGATGATGTAGTTCGTGCTTATGCTTCAGTACAACTCCCAGGTGGTTTTATTGCTACTGGTGTTTCAGTCGATGGTTCATTAGTCGAAGGTGATGGTGTTAATGTCGATACATCATTTTTCAAATTTTCAACTCTTGGTTCATTCCCAATTTTACAATGGTTCTATTATCATGGTTCAGTCAGTGCTGGTGCCGGTGGTTCAATTGATATTTCAACATCAGCCCTCTCATCAGCCTATATTCCAACCTACGTTATTGAATACGTTGAAAAGAACGGTCAAGAAGGTCTCCAAATTGGTGAAGATGATATTGTTGGTCACATCAATCTTGCTAAATATACTTATGATGTCGATATTGAAACCAATAAACAAGCCACTGGTTTCAATGTTTACCACATTACTGCCACCAGTAGCAACGGTCTTTTCCAAATGAACTTTACTCTTGCTGATCAACCAGTCGAAGTTGATGGTAACAGAATTTCTGCTGAACAAACTAAAATTGATATTGGTATTTACAACTATTATGATGATAAAGTCAATAAAGCCTCAAGCACTATTCTTTGCAAAGATTTAGCCTGTGGTTCAACTGGTCCATCATCAAACCAATCAAGCCTTGCTCTCCTCTCATTCTATGCTGCTGGTAAATTCGATTTAGATCTTAGTGGTAATGCTGGTATCACTGTCCAAAACGACAATGGTATCTATGCTGGTAAGTAATTTTTATTAAAATTTTTTTAAAACCTCCCATTGATTGATACTAATAAAATCTCACTATTCATTTTAACAACTTTTAGGTTTCAACTGGGTTAGTAATGCTAAAGTAACCAAAGAAGACGGCACTGTCAGCGTTTCTGCTAATGTTGTCACCTCTGTCAATGGTACTGATAACCAAGTTTACGGTTCTGCCCAAATCTCAGGTATCTTCACCGCTGATGCTTCACACAAATTCCTCGTTCAATCATTTGAAGGTATCAGACCATCAGCTGTCGAATGGGATCCAACTATGGGTGGTGCTAGCGAAAAATTCCAAAACGAAAACAGTGGTTTCAGAATTGCCTCATCATTTGTTTTAGTTTTAGTTGGTTTAGTTGCTGCTTTATTACTCTAAAAATTTTATTTATTTAAAAAAAAATAATTTTTAAATTTATAAAAATAAGAAACAAAGATCGAAAAAAGAATTTAATAACTTTAAACAAACTATCTATTTATTTAAATAAAATTTAATTATCATTTTATTTTTAAAATTTTATTAAAGAGATAAAGTTTTAAAAATAATTTAAAATTAATTAAATCAAAAAAAAAAAAAGAATTTTAGTTTTTATAATTTTTATAATATAATACATATTATTATTGTTATTATTATATTTTATTTATTTATATTTTATTTATTTTATATATACTTTTTTTTTTATATTTTTTTTTATATTTTTTATGTTAAATCAAAAGATCTTTTTCTTGAAAATTTAAATATAATATCAGAGTTTGATAAAGAGTTGTTATTTCTTGGTGGTGAATCTTCAAAGGAATCAGTAGAGTTGTTTAAAAGATTAGAAATTGATACTTTATCGTTGGATGTATTGTTATCATTAGGTACTACTTGGTGGTCATGGCTATTTTGATTTAAAATATTATAATCGCTATTAAAATCTTCATGAAGTTTTGGTAGTTTTTCTGGTCTGTAGATTGATTTAAGGTTGTTTGCTGGATAGTATTGTTGGGAATTAGATCTCTTGGTTTTGGCATATTGAATCATATTATTAAATGATGATGATAAATTAATATTGTTTGATATATTGTTAATTGGAGTTAAAATCGAATTTTCGTTATTAATAATTTGAGGTTTGGTGGTAGGCGAGTCTAATTGGAAGAGGCTGTTACCCAATGATTTGCTTCTTGGTCTTGATACCAATGTGTTTGTTAATACAGGTGATGAGATACCAAGGTTTGATAAATCGTTTATATAGTTATTAATATTTAAATATTGTGTTGGATTGGCGGAAGAGTTTGATTGTGGCGATAGTAAGCCTGATGAAATAGATGGGGTGGATGACGTCGATGATGAGTGTAATGTAAAACCATTTATACTGTTTGAAAGATTTCTACTATGATGTGTTGATATTAATGAGTTTGGTGTTACTGATCCATTAGAGTTAATGTTATTACTATTATTTAAAAGATTTGGTGAGTATCTAGAACCATTTCTAATACTATTCGAAGAGGTAGTTAAATAGCTTGGTGAATGAGTCGATCCTAATAAAGGTGTTGTAGTAATACTATTTGATTGAGATAAATTATTATAATTTGGTGAAGAGTTATTTGATAAACTTAATACAGGAGAAGTATAAACCATTTGAGGTGAAGATGGGCTTGAGAAAGGTGATCCATTGTTATTTATTATATTATTTCCACTACTGGTTAAAACGTTGTTATTAGTATTATTAATATTATTGTTACTTGAAATATCAATATGGTTATTGTTGTTATTGGTATTATTATTATTATTATTATTGCTATTGTTTGTATTATCTTCCCATGGATCAGACATGTCTTTTAATTTCCAAAATCCATAGCATTCATGGTGGTCAGCACCAGATTCAAAAAGCCTTCTACAATGTGATAGGGCATCTTGTAATTGTTTTCTCCAACCTGGGGTTTTCTTCTTTTTAGTGCAAATTAGAGACCAATGAGTTGCAACATAACCATATACATCTTTTTTTAAATTAAAGTATTCCTTTTCAGGGTAAAGGTTTTTAAGAGAATAGAAAACAACCCGTAAAATGGAAACCCATGAAACGGATCTTGATGAAAGACATGGTGGAATATCTCTATTGCAAATTAAACAAATTGATTTATGTGCACATACTGTTGGATAGTTATCGTTATTTATATTTGCTTTAAAATTGAAAAATAAACCAGAGTTTGGATTGTTTTTAATTTGATTAAAATAGTTTTCATTATTATTATTTTGAATTAATAAATTATTAGTTGTATTATTTGAATTATTATTAAGATTATTATTATTTGTGTTATTGCTTGAAATTAAATTATTTTTAGATGTCATTGTTGTGTTATTATTGTTATTTTTTTCTAATAAAAAATGGCACATATGGTTATCCATAGGATTACTATTAATGGTGTTACTGGATGGAGTTTTATTATTGATATTACTATTTAAAAATGGAGATGAACCCGAACTATTATTATTATTATTATGATTTTTGCCCAATATAATTATTTTATCTGAAATTTGGTATGGTTGTTTATAATTTTCTATACAATTCATCTAAATATTATTATAAATTATTTAAAAAAAAAGATTTTTAAATTAATGATTTTTTTTACAAATTATTTAAAATTATGAAATCAAGTGTGAATGAAAGAAGGGATTTAAAAAAATTGTGTAAACATAAGTTTTTTGATTAATGGGTGAAGAAGAGTATTATTCCTGTTAAAAATGGGTATTAT